GCTCAGTCTGAGAATATTCTGTAAATAAGTGCTAGCTAATAAACCTTGCTGATTGAACCTGCACGGTCTCCAGGAGTTCCTTGGGCTAGGCCTGACAAGACCATACTAGGAAACCAAAATCATTCAGCCTAATACTCTTTTTATTATAAGGTTATAATAACAGAATCTTGCAAGTCTGAATGGACTTCTGATTCCCTCCCTTTATCTTCAAGAGAACTAGGTAGGGTCTTAAATGAGATGTTTACTCAGGATACAGCTCTGACCTGGACTCAAATTTCTTTTATCTGACAGTTGCCTTGGCTGTGGCTCTTCCTCCTGTTCCTCAAGGTTATTTGTGCTTCCCATTACATCAGGTTAATTAAGGGACCATCTCTCCCCAGTTGTTTCTACCCATTCTGTCTGATCAGGCTCCGGGTGTGCTCCGGGTCCCACTGGCTAAGGAATCTTAACTGGCGAGGCCCAGGAAACAAGTCTTTTCTGCTGTGGTGCCTGCCCTCTGGAATCTTCTCCCTCTGGAAATCAGATTGGCCCTGACCCTGCTGGCCTTTTGTAAGGCCCGAAAGACCTGGTTCTGTGCTTGGGCCTGCTGCCCTGAGTGTATGAAGGGGCCTGTTTCCTGGCTATGCAGGTGATAGCTGGTTTTCTCAGCTACTATGTATTCTAATTTTTGTATATGTATCTGTTTTATTTTTTATTACTGTTCCCTGCCCAGAGTCATTGTTGAGATGGGCGGCTATATAAATTAATTAAGTAAAAATTAAATAAAAATTATAAATAACAGATTGAATCCAGATAACTTAATAAATTCAGGTTTTACAGGATCTTGGAGATATCCCAGTGCAAATCCCATGGAAAGAAGATGGCTCTGGCTTAGGGCAGAATGTGAGGAGTCACCGGCAAAGGATTCAGAGAAAAGAAAATCATTAGAGTGTCTAAAGTCCAGGAACCTGAACTCCAAGGTGATGCCAAATGGGCAACTAGAAAGCAACAAATGATGGCAATAGCATCTAACAGACTACACATTATTTACTAGGTGACATGATGATGTTGAGGTCCAATTGAGGCTGCTCACTGCAACATTATTTTTTCCTTTTTAAAATAAAATTAAAAATTAAAAATCTTACACTTCACAGCACATAGATGAGTATATAACAACAACAACAACAACAACAATAATTGATAAAATCATCATCAGTCAATTGCAAAAGGCAGCTTTACTTGGAACAGCTTATATATGTGACAATATCTTTAACACCATCAAACAACATCTGCCTATCCCAGGTCCTTG